AAAAAGAAATTTAAATTACAAAAAAAAATTTTTTTTGGGGGAGGTGTTGCAGTAAAACGAAAAAAAAAACAGAAATTTAAAATTGCAAAAAAAAAAAAAAAAGAATTAAGTTAAAAAAATATTTTTTTTTGCGGTGGGTGGGTTTGGGAGGTTGGGGTGGAGATGTAATAGGGTGGGTGGTGACGGAAAAACTGAAATTAAAAAAAAAGAAGCTTTTTTTGGAGAGGGGGGTGGGGTGGGATGGTAAGGGTGGGGAAGGTTAAGAAAGAATTTTGGAAAATGTCTTCCCTTCTCTTGATAAGGAAAATATTTCCTCCAATTGAAGGAAAATGAGTTCGTGAGGAAAATGTTTTCCAAAACATTTAAGCCAACCAAACATGAGAAAATTGAAAAATATTTTCCTTCGTACCAAACACACCCTCTATGTCATTAAGTTTCTTCCAATTCAAACTGCAATCCAATGGAAGCGTGTGAGTCCAAAATCATTATGCAAATTTCACAAATTAATTTATTCCAAAAAAGGTTTGAATTACTATTACTCAAATAACTTTTACATTCCTCAATTTTGTTTCATCTCATAATAAATTGTAAATAAAAACTTGAGGAAATAGGCGATGTAAATTATAGATTTAAGATTTTAAAAAATATAGTTTCAATTATGAAAGGTACGCTTGAAAATGACAACTGAAAATACTAAATATGTTAGCATAAGATATCGAACGTCTTTATAAAATCATATATAACCAAAGTGTATGAAAAGTTGAAGGCTAAACTTAGGTGAAAAATCTCGATTTCGAAGAAATAATTTTGAATTAACATTTATGTCTTCAACAATTTTGGTTATTTGCGATTTTCCGATAGAATTCTTTAGGCGATTGGTCCCTTAAAAACAACTCTTTCAACTTTCACTCAGCAAATTGGGAGAGAATTTTAAAGTTTTATTTCAAAATAATAAAACAAATCGACAAGTTTCTGGGGCCAAATGGCAAATATATCCATAGCCCTCATAAGAATGTAAATTTTGAATATTACTTATTTAGTTTGTGTATATGGCATTTGTATTCAGTTTCAATATCAATTTAACTTATTCTGTATCATGACCAATACATACATACATACATACATATATACATATATATATATATATATATATATATATATAGGTAAACAGTTCTAATTATTTTTGAATTTTTTTAGTTTACATGGTTCGTGGGCCGGTGGGAAGGTCTCTCTGTTTTGGGCCAAATACCTATCCCGGTATTGCGGTTTATGAAGGAGACTGTACTCTTCGAAAACGTAAAAATTGCACGGGACGCCTTATTTGGTCGCCCTCATTTAACCTATACTAATTTTTTAAATTTTTTTAATTTATACCCACTTTTTAAACAATTTCAGCTCCCTTTCTCCTCCTTCTCCTCCTTCATTTTCTTCTTTCTTCTTCTACAACGATGACTTCAACATTGTTCTCTTTTGATTAATGAGGCTAAAGCAAATATACTGAGGACTTCCATTTGAATTATTATAACATTAAAAACCAGTTTCCTCATTGTCTGGAAACACAACTTCGTCATCCATTGCTGGAAATTTACTTGATACCATGAATGTTTCTGCACAAGGAACCCGGTCTTTAACAGTAAGTTTCAAATTCATTCTTTCCCATGCACATGGTGTTTGTTATTCTTTTTCTTTTCTCTTTTGAGTTTTTTTTGGCTATGAAACGTCGCTCTTGATATATTTAAAACATGAAAGTTAACAGAGTACAGTAGATGGAACTAAACGATGGATCCGATTACATAAAATCTAATAACGGTAAACTAAAGTTGGGTGAGTTATCAAAAAACTAGAACATCTTGATAGTGGGATTCCCCAGTTACAAAGACAAAAACTTCAGCTCCAGAGCTGAAGTCCGATAGTTACAAAACAAAAACTTCAGCTCTAGAGCTGAAGTTCGCCAGCTACAAAAATAAAACTTTAGCTCTAGAGCTGAAGTTCGCTAGTTACAAAACAAAAACTTCAGCTCTAGAGCTGAAGTTCGACAGTTACAAAACAAAAACTTCAGCTCTAGAGCTGAAGCTTACAAACAAAAACTTCAGCTCTTCGCCAGTTACAAACAAAAACATTAGCTCTAGAGCTGAAGTTCGACAGTTACAAAACAAAAACTTAAGCTCTAGAGCTGAACTTCAGGCCCGACTACTAGAATGCTGAAGTTTTGCGTGATTGCCTTTGCTATGCGAAAAAGCGGGTACGCTTGCAATTTTTTTTTACAAAGCAGACACAAGTTAAAACGTGACACAAAAGTATAGATGCAAATGCCCCTTCGAAAACAGTTACCTGAAAAATTATCTTAAAATTTTTTGTGGGTATTTGGATGGTGAATGAAAACTATTTTCTGGACTACATTTATTTATTAATTTATTGACAGGTTACTTTTTAGAAATACATTTATTAGAGATTGATAGTACTGTCACAATCAAAAGTAGTGTGTTGCATTGAAGATTTTATGAAAATTTTGAGTGTTAAAGGTCAATAATGTGGATAGACTGGAGCAAGTAATATGTAATAAGAGTTGAAATATTTGTAAAGGAAAATGTTTTTGTCGCTCAGAAGTGACGGAAGTCATCTTCTCTCTTTTTATAGAAAACATTTTCCGGATAACCAAACATCTCCACTCTAAGTATACTTGTGAGAGCAATCAAAGTGAAAACGCCTTGAAATAGTTCATCTAAATATAGTCATTGTTGCCCCCAAAAATGGCGCAATACATGAAGTGCAGACAAGGGCAGAGGTAGTAGCTAGTGTAGGAGACGTGTTCGGACGAACCCAATGACTTGCTTAAACCTGGCATTTTTGTTAGAAAATCCAATAAACGTATAAAAATATTTAATTGTGAACTCAGTAACTAGACTACAACAAGCTAGGGTTCAGTGATAAGATGAACCCATAAACCTTCCTGGCTGAGCCAGCAGAGGTTGTATGTAAAGATCCTGTGGGCTGTTTGTAACGATGCAACAAGAAGGAGAAGCAGGAAAAAAGAAATTACTTATTCCATCTATATTTATTCCGTCGTGAACTAGTACTTGGAAGCTTCTGATCTGATGAGAAACAAAAATAAGCAATCTGAAGCAAAGATAAAATATGCGTAAAGAACTGCTAATCACATCAACTTCCAGAAACTAACCTGCTGAAATAGCGGAACACTTAAAGATTGTGAATTCAAAAACTTAAAATTCTGTATATAAACTGCACTCTTTATAACTTAGTAGTCCAGAGCAAAGAGATTATCATGCATGTCATGTGAAGTATGTTATTCGTCTACTTCCTTTGTATTTAAAGGTCTACCGAACGACACTATCCGATTCAGGTCCCGAAGAATAATATCACATTGGTAGCTTTCCACATTTAACAGCTAGTTTGGTTTTGAAAAGTATATCTATGGCCACCAAGAACTACCATGTGATGGTGTTCCCATGGTTAGCCTTTGGCCACATGCTACCGTTCCTTGAACTATCAAAGAAATTGGCAGCAAAAGGGACACGCGTTTCCTATGTTTCCACCCCGAAAAACCTGCAGAGATTGCCCCCGGTTCATTCAAGTTTAGGAGATAAAATAAAGATGCTGGAGATCCCATTGCCATCGGTAGATGGCCTGCCAGTGAATTGTGAAGCCACCGTTGATCTTCAACCAGAGGAAATACAGTACCTGAAAAAGGCATATGACAAATTAGCCCTACCATTTGAAGAGTTGCTGCTTGAGAATTTGCCGGACTTGATATTGATCGACTTTGCTCCATTCTGGATTCCAGAAATTGCAGCTAAATATGGTGTGTCCACTGCCTTCTTTAGTGTGTACACTGCCTCAACATTAGCTTACCTGGGACCACCTGTTGAACTTAAAAATGGCACCCTACGTACCCGTCCTGAACATTTTGTACATCCTCCGCCTTGGTTCAACTTCCACTCTCTGGTAGCCCACAGGCCTGATTATGCACCAACAATGATGCGTAACACTCACTGTCCTGATGCATCTGGTGTACCCAGTGGCCAACGTATAGCCAAAATTGTGGAGGGATGTAAATTTGTTGTAGTGAGAAGTTGCAATGAGTTCGAAGAGAAATATATAAATCTAATTGAGGAACTCTATCAGAGGCCAGTTTTACCTATTGGCATACTTCCACCAGCACCCGAAACTGGGACTCAGCCACAAACAGATTCAGGATGGTCTTATATTTTCAGATGGCTGAATAAACAAAAGTCCAAGTCTGTGGTATTTGTTGGCTTCGGAAGTGAGTATAAGATGCCTATCAAGCAAATCCATGAGTTGGCTTGTGCTCTCGAGCTTTCAGAGCAACCCTTTCTATGGATTCTGAGAAAACCAGAAGGCGTGGAGTATCAAGAAGTATTACCTACAGGTTTTCTCTCTCGAGTATCAAACCAAGGGATCGTTAGTCTTGGTTGGGCACCTCAACAGGATATACTAGCTCATCCTTCCATTGGAGGATGCCTTTTCCATTCTGGTTGGGGTACCATTATTGAAGCCCTTAGCTTTGGGCACCGTCTGGTTCTCATTCCCATGGTTGCTGATCAAGGACTCAACGCAAAGCTGTTAGTGGAAAAGGAGATAGGCCACGAAGTTCCAAGGAATGAAGATGGTTCCTTCTGCAAGGACATTGTAGCCAACTCAATAAGATTGGTGATGAATACTGAAGAGGGAGAAAAACTGAGGTTAAGAACAGCTCAAGTTCAGAAGATTTTTAGTAACCACAGGGTCCATGATAGTTACATAGACCAGTTCATCCAACACATCAAAAGGCTAGAGTTTCAGAAGGGTAATGAAAAGTAATATTGAATTTTTTATTTAAGCAAAAGATCCAAGATAATATTGTGCATGTTCAGCAGTATCAAACAGAGTGAGGCACATAACATTGTGACTACCAAACCTGCGGATGAAAATAGTTGATGCTTAGTCCTGTTTAGTTCATGTGCACATAATGTGGCTTTACCTCATTTGTAATTTTCCTGAATAACAAGTTCATAGGCTGATATAACTCTACTGAAAACATTAGAATTACTGGCGAAAAAATACATTCTTCGATTATAAGTGCAAATGAAACATCATTCTACATCAGAGGTACTTAGATACTGAATGGGTGATACAACTATTAGGGGCAACCCGGTGCACAAAGTATCCCGCATTCAACGCAGGGTACTGGGAAGGGCTGCACCTCAAGGGGTGTAAGCCTACCCTGATGCAAGCACTAGTGGCTGCTTCCACGGCTCGAACCCGTGACTTGTAAGGTCACACGGAGACAACTTTACCGTTGCTCCAAGGTTCCCCTTCAAAGGTGATTATTAGTAGCCGAGCTTACCTTTAAAAATGAAAACAGTACTTTGGATGCCAAACCCTTCATCTGATGATTAATACATGGTAACTGTCAACACCAGTTACCATTTCTTGAGTACTCAAAAACTAAGAAGCAAAGTGTGACAGAATTACCTTCATTTCTGAATTTGTGAGTCCTGCACGTAGATACACTATTCATTTACACACTTTGAGCATTTACTAAAATGAAAAATAACAACCAGCTTCTAGTCCCATAATGACTGGCATGACCACCAGAAAGGTCTGACCTGTCTGGGCATGCGTATGACAATATAAGGGTTGCAAATTCATATCGATGAGAACCTTAAGAGGTTTTGAAGCTAACCTGACTCCTTTCTAGGAACTCCCTCAGAAGCCAGTTGAGAATTGAGATGTACCTTCTCCTAGGACTCACCAAGAAACCAATTCAAGCAGTTCTAACACTTCCAAATGCTGAGTGGACAAATATTCTCTGTTTGGTATTTGCAGGATCCATGAGTTGGCTTTAGGACTTGAGCTTATAGAGCTACGCTTCCATGAATACTTGGGGGAAGCCAGAATAAACGAATCAAAAAACCTATTGTCCATGGGGGTTGTCATTATTTAATATGGAAAAGTAATTTGACTTTGCATTAATTGCACCAAGAAGGTGCCAATATGTACAGCAAAAAGACTTACGTCCCCTCAAATGCGCAGGAGTCCAAAAAGTCCAACAAAATTTACATCCAAAAGGAACTGCATATTACACCAAGAACATGACATTTGCAGGATCCTACTTTTTAAAGCATACACTGCTCAAGACTTGTTTTAAAAGCAGCTCTATTCCTTCCTTGCCATAAGGACCAAAAGATACACAAAGGGGCACTGTTGCAGATGTATTTCAACAGTTTCTTCGTCTTTTGACCCTGCCTCAAATACGCACGGTGTCACTATCACTTTGGATACTGTACTATTAGTCTCAAACCCGCTGACCGGCCTGATATTCTTGTTCTCCAGCCTATGGATGACACTTACTCAGCTCATTAAAGTTCCATCATAGAGCGTAACTGGATATTGGCCAAGGATGAAATGCTAAATTATTGTCTTAAAACAATAGGTTACCTGGTTTCTAAAGTGTAGATGGTTGCTTCAGTGATCAGAAGGTAGCCATTGTGAATAAAATTGGTCATAACAACATAAGAGGAGAATGACAAAAGATTGAAGGTTAATTTAACGTGAAAATTTCAGCAACAGCAGATGACAAATACAAAAACCATTCATGAAACCCTTAATTCCCACTACAAAATAGGAGAAAAAATTTCAAGCATAGCACATCGTGCGACAATCTGATGACGTAATGAGTTCAATAGAACTAATGGATAAGCATTACAAGTAACATAGCAGGGTAGGGAGTACAACCAAACTTTATACATTCCGAATAACTGAAAAACCAGAATTCACAACAGCATCATGTTGTTAAAGGAAGTTCTATATAAGCTAGTATGAACAGAGACATGCCAAATGATAAATAATTTGGTAGAACAAAGGAGATAAATAAAACAAAGGTAGGACTGCCTCCAGATGATTGCTAAGAAGCTTCTCATATGAAACAAAGAGTGGAAGAAAGATAGAGAGCAATGCTAGCTTTAAAAGCAAAACAATCACCACCAACATTGCGTCCAACTTAGATCATGATCTGTTACGGAAACAGATTGAGAGAAGTTGGTCAACCAGAGTCACGTTTCATAATCCCATGTTTTCCCATTGAGATGCAGAAAAGACAAAGAAAGCAAGAAGCTAAAAGGATTAACAAGAAAGAAGTTCTTAATCATGGCAATGGAGAAAGGATCTGGAGAATGCACTAATATCTACCTGACGAGTAACTGTTAGCCGTGACACTAAACTCAAAGTCCCTTGTTTAGCATATGATACACTTCCAAATGCAGTCCACGAACATTAATCCAAACAAAATTTACAGTAAATTTCTTTAAAAGTTTAAGGTGCTTTAAAGATACATGAAGTTCATCATGTGAAAATCTTCAAGACTAAGTAAAGAAATCACATGTTTATTCCAGTGAAGAGCATATCTGCGAGCCAAGAACTGCCCCAGGCAAAAATTTACACGTGAAAGAGAGATGAGCTGAACAAGAACAAAGTCCGAAATGCTTGAAAGATGACCAAGGTATTAAACGTCGTAACCAGGGTTTACTTTCTGCTGAACATCCCCATAACTCTGTAATTCTTCTATATCATCTGGACTACCCAAAAATAGAGGAAGTCTTTGGTGTAGCTTGACAGGCTGAATAGATAAAATTCTGTTTTTACCATCTGAACCTCTACCCCCAGCCTTTTCCGCTAAGAAACTCAGGGGATTTGCTTCATAAACAAGACGAAGGTGGTCCCTTGGATTCATTGCCACTCCCCCATATAAAAGAGTCCGATGAAAATCTGCCACTAGAGAACATATATATCTGGCTGAGTACTTCTTAGGATGTTTTCCCTTCCCTTGTCTTATGGTGTCAATATACTGTCTTAAACCTTCAGGCCAGTCAAAATACCGAGCATCATTAACTGAATAAATTTGCCCTGCCATAAAATGGTAACGACATAATTATCAGTTCAGAATATGTAATATACAATGGATATGGAGGAAGGAAAAAAAAGAAATAACAATACCTCGAGGTGGAATGCTGATGTTAGGATGTGTCAAGAGGAAATCTCCGGTTGTATGCTCCAATGTGAATGCATGCGTTCCAGAACCAAAACTGGTGCAGAGTATTGTGGCTGACGAATAGAGAACATAAGCTGCAGCAACAAGCTTTGCTCCACTCTGAAGGCAGTTTAGCAAAGCCTTTTCCTCTACTGGAAGATGATCAATTTCCATAAGACGTCTGTAAATCCCAAATATCGTCCCTGTGGGTATTGAGGCATCAATATTTCGGGAACCATCTAAAGGATCCATGACAACCACAAAGGGTCCATCATCAGTTATCCACACAGGACCCTCATCTTCTTCTGAGGCCATTACAGCAACTTTTCCTGAATTTCTAAGAGACGACAATATAATCTCGTTCTGAACAAACACACAAAAAAAGACTTTAGAACATGAGACGTTTCCTGGTTGCATAATATATGAAACACCAGAGGAGCACACCGATCAGAGGTGTCAAACGAAATTGTGAATTGAGATAGTTGAGCAAAGATTGAAAAAGGTTAGGAAGGAAAAAACATGTGGCATTGACAGCTAAAACAAGAAATTCTACAGCTCTTATTGCATTAGAATGTCTACTTCCTAATTCATTAAAAGAAGATTGCACAAACAGAGAATAAACTCAAAAAAGGAAAAGGGAAAATGTGAATTGCATACATGATACAACCTATTGCAAATAAATAAAATAACATTAATCAATCAACTATGTTATGATAGAAAATGAAGCTGGGCTTGAGATAGATGTTGGGCCAGATGAGAATGCAAGTATTGGGCCGGTCTGGGAAAGTAAGAGAACAACAAGGCCTCTCCAAAGACTATTAGTCTACATTTGGGACCCTGGTTGAGGGAATTAGTTAAATAGCAGAGTATACGGGCATTATGCGGGCAGGCTGAATTTGGTAGAAACTTCCCCTCTCTGGTCTCTCTCTCCCTCGACACTTCTATCTGTGGCTCTGTCTTCCCATCCCCCTTCTTTCTGTTACTATCCTTAGTTATTGTTACTTTACAGTGTAATTCCTTTGTTATCAGTATCAATATATCAATCTGTTATTTCTGTATTTGGTTGTGGATATTGGATCCATAACATTGGTGCTTTCATTGATTTGGACTCCATGGCTCTCTACTCTTCTACTATTATCAATTATCACCTCGATGCCATCCAGGGACTGATGATGGCGATAATGGACAATAACAATCGTATGCTAAGAATTCTCGAGAACAAGTTGTCTGCCTCTTCCACGATGATCCCCGAAGCTTCTGCACATCGGAATGTGGTTGTGTCTTTGGCAAATAAGTGTGAACAGAAGGAGATATCAGCAGCAGAGATTGGTTCTGATTTGGATAATGGACGCTCCAGCATCGCGGATAAATCTGACGTACTTATTGAGATGGTGGAAACTGAAATTGACGAGGAGGAAAGTTCAAAAGGCTATGCCTGCAAGGTGTTGGCTGAAATACATGATAGGAAGATTGACATAAAAGATGATTCAGTGAAGAATCATTCAGCCAAGCCTGAAACCCAGGTGTTTGAAGAAATGTTTCAAACAGTTTCCGTAGTCAGGTGTGATTACAATAACCACGTCATATTTGATAATCCACTAGTGCTGCCAATTGTGCCTTCTGCTTGCGGTCACGCCCAACCTCTCAACAGAGGTATATTTGATTACTTAAGGGAACATGATCACGCTAAACATATCTTCGCTTTACGTCAATTACCACTTGCTCAATTCAGCTTAGTGTTTCCATTTGATCCTGGTTCTAATTTCCTTACCACATCCCTTAGTGCCATAAAGTATTGTGTATTTTGTGCTGCTTCGGGCGACTTAGAGCCTGATAAGTTCATAACTTCAACCTTGAGGAATTCTTGCAATTGGGTCGACACTGGACATGGAGTTACGAATGATTCAAGTTGCACATATCATCATATTAGTCCTTTAATTGCATCAGATGCCCAAAAACTGTTTGAGGGAACTGTGCAACGAAGCAGGTGTTTAGTTGCACGGTTGTTTGATCGTGACTGTGTAGGTCGAGTTCAATCGGGTGTTGAAAGCAGTGATACTTTTCAGAGTCTTTTTTGTACATCATACCAGCTACTAGGAGAGTCTCTAGAATTCTCATTTAGGCATGCTTGTGGAAACGACACCCATGTTGCTATGCTTCTCGGTGCTGCGATGATTCTTCAGGAACAATATGGTGAATTGCAGGGGACTACACTTTTGGTTTTTCAGCCAGCCGATGCGGGAGATGAAGCAAAGAAAATACTTGATTTCGGGATGCTTATGAATAGTGATGCACTTGAGGTCACTGTTTATTGTGCAATGGCTGCTCCCAATGACACTAAAAATTATTGTTATGGTGACTACATCAGGTAGGCCATCAAAGGGAGAATCTAATGGTCTTGATGCTACTATAGACAACATCCACACTTATGCCAACAATCTGATAAATCATGTGTTACTCAACATGAAACGTCCTATGCATCCCAAGCAGGTTATAAGTGTGCTCAATTTACTAATGCTAACGATGTCCATTGGAAGCCAAACAAAACAAGGTTGCAAGTTGTTGATAGCATGTGCAATACTCCATTCAAGCTCATTCACAGATATCTTTGATTGCAGCGGTTGTGAGGAACACAAAGACATACCATTTGGTACCTATATAACGGACTCTATCTTCGACCTTTGCCCCTATGATCCAAGACCACATGCTAAAGTTTTGCTGGACATAAGGACATTACAACTGAGATGGTTTTGGTATCAAATTGGTCTTGTGATCCTAGAACTTGCATTAGCTTCTACTACCATACTTGAGAACATACTGTATGGAAGGCTTGAGGTAACATGGATTGAAGTTAAGACAGTTGCATCTGCTGCCATTGTGTTGGGAATTTTTTTGTTTTTCTTTGGGTGCTTTAATGAAGGACAATGCCTCATTAATGTTTACATGCTTGTTGATGCAACAACTATAGTGTGTGACATATCTTTTTGGCCAGAGAGAGAACTTTGTTATTGAGACAATTGTTAGTAAGCACATTACTGACATTGTTCTTGACTCGGACCTTGAGGACAAGGTTCTTATTGAGGACGGGGGTAATGTTATGATAGAAAATGAAGCTGGGCTTGAGATAGATGTTGGTCCAGATGAGAATGTAAGTATTGGGCCGGTCTGGGAAAGCAAGAGAACAACAAGGCCTCTCCAAAGACTATTAGTCTACATTTGGGACCCTGGTTGAGGGAATTAGTTAAATAGCAGAGTATACGGGCATTATGCGGGCAGGCTGAATTTGGTAGAAACTTCCCCTCTCTGGTCTCTCTCTCCCTCGACACTTCTATCTGTGGCTCTGTCTTCCCATCCCCCTTCTTTCTGTTACTATCCTTAGTTATTGTTACTTTACAGTGTAATTCCTTTGTTATCAGTATCAATATATCAATCTGTTATTTCTGTATTTGGTTGTGGATATTGGATCCATAACAAACTATGCCTCAATCCCAAACTAGTCGGAGTCAAGCTATATGTAAATACTCTATCCATTCCATATCCACTCTATGGAGTCCGTTTCATTCCAATACCAAATAGTTTATCTTTTATCTTTAAGGCAAAATCAGGTAGTCTAAAACTAGACCATTGCATTAACATGACACACAAAAAAAAATCCCATTGATCATGAAAACAAAATATGCTGATAATAAAATAACGGAAATGAAGAAATGCTCACAGAGCATAGGCCTACCGAGACTAAATCAAGAGGCTTAGGCTTATCTCTATCAGAAGAAGAAGTCTCAGTGCCAACAATATTCTTGCTGAGGCTGGAATTGAAAGGGGAAGCAACAAGTGCTGCAATTTTCTTGGAGGCATATTCTAAGTGACCAAACAACAATACCAAGTCATCAGCCGCTCCGTCTTTGCCCATGTACTCCATCAATGTATAAAACCCACTATTTACAGAATCTCTTTTACTGCCAATTGCAGTTGGTGAATTTACCCTCAAGTTAATTAACCCTCCAGAAAATGGAGAAGATGTCATATTGTGGAAAGGTGCAAGATTGTATCTTTGAGGGAAAAATGGAGGGTTTGAGGAGGAAAGTTGGGTTCTTGGTGGCAAATTTAGGGAAGAAATGGTTGATGATAGCATCTCTATCTCTCTGCTATGTGGCAGCTCATTCATATGACTATTTGAGCAACTTTTGGTATTCTTGTTACTAGTATTAGTACCATGCCATATGCGGATATTAAAATGGTAGTATATTAGTATTTATATCTTATTTATAATATCACATTAAAATTAATGTTTTAGTATTTAAATTATCTTTTTTGTTGAGGACATTTATTTGAAATACCCAACTAATATCATATATAATTCTCCAGAAAGAGTCATTTCATAGGAAAGTCAGCCTGAAATATAAATTTACCTTAGCTTATATTCGCTTCTAACTAACTAAAAATATGCTACAAACTGTAAAAGCTTTATCGGTGATTTTTGACGAATATGAAGTTAAGATATTTTCCTCTATCTGAAAAGCTATCTTGCATATCCTTCTTTTCCCTTGAACACATGAATTAGCACTTAGGTAGCAACTTCATAAAGGACAACCTATCCTTTCGTTATTGGATATGTAAGTTAGCTATGTCTATTAAAGCTTAGATATATAAAAAGAGTTAAGGACTGGTACACCACAATTTTCTTTTAATATGAGAAGTTCAAATCTTTCCGTGAAATTCTCAAATTCGAAAGGTACCATGTATCAATCCCCTTATCTTTAGGAATTCATGTTTTTCACATCGGTTCAAATCTCCAAATGTAACAAAGACATAGAGAAAGAAAAAAAAGGTGTCTGTGAGAAAATATGAAATTTGCAATGTACTGAATAATTTTATAAAATAAATTTTCACTGTTACTTTGGCTTAGTTGAGACAGTAGAGAATTATATCCAGAAAATTATATTATTATTTTTCAATATGCAGTTCCTCTTCTTTTTTCGTCTCTAGAGAAGATCGAGGCTGGCAACAAAATTATATATATGTAAGATAGTTCCAAGCTCTCCTTATGAAAGTGATTATCTTTAAGGTCTCAACGGATTCAGAAATTCTTCTTTACCAAGATAAATAGAAACATATTCAACATGTGTTCTCTTATTTTTTTCAATTCTTTCTCTTTCATCCTTTTCAAATTGATGAAAACAGTAGAAAGACGGTAAGTATACATAAAGATATATCTTCTAGTTTACATCCAAAATACAGAAAGCTAGGAAGGCTAAAAGATATTTAGAAAATTCAAATATTGAAGTAAGGAAGATCGTATATAACAACAGAAACTTGCCTGAAAATGAAATGTGTGTCCTTGTTTCTTATGTCAGTATCTAGTTTTCTGCAATTATCAAAAGGCTAAAAAGATTAAGACCCGCAATCAATTAATAGAAAAGGAAAGCAGTAAGCTATTTGATAAACATTTCAATCAAATGAGGTGTGAAGTATACTGCTTGTTTGTTGACTTTATTTTTCCATTAAAGACTGGGATTAGTATCTACAGTATCATACATGAAAGCACGCAAATGTATGACTATGACATAACCTATAGTACTACATGGTTTCACTCTAAGTCCTCCTTTTTTGTCCCTTCCTTTTTCTCAAAATTTGTAAGAACCATAGAAAAAAATCATATTTTACTCATTGCTGAACTTTGTCCATAAACGATTAACTGGGAAAAAATCATAAATGAAGTTTTGAACACAATAAATAAAACCAGTTCACAAAGCACTAAAAACTCCTCTGTTAACATAAAAAATTCCTCCTATAAATTTGCTTCTTAAAAACTGCAACACTTATGTAGCTTTTGAACACAATATACATTAACTTTTTGAGGTTTCATGGATAGTTCCCCTGATGATTATTGTCGGAAAATAGTAAGCAGAACTAACAGGGGAAGGAGTAGAATTTAATTTCGCATTCCAGGAGCAGATAATGTCAATTCTTGTACAGTGCAAATGTATTACAGAACCTTATTAATCAGACACAACTACTTAAAAATCATCTCCCAACAATAAGTTTACAAATATCGAAGTATCTCGTATAAATCTTAGCTTCACCAACACACTCATTCAACATTCGATTAGTTCAAATAACTAACATGTTGCATAAAAAAATTAACTGAAAGAGTCAACTAAGTACTAATTTTAAGAATCAGTTTTTTAAATATGAATGTAGATCAATATTTATGTAAGAATTAATGTACAATTGTTAATCCAACTTTCAAAAACATTACAGTTAAATATGTGTACTATACATAATCGTTTATGTAAAATTTGAATGATTGAAGCAATTTCGTAGACCCTAGAGGCTATAGGGAACATACGAAATTTCATATCAGTCTTAGCAAGTACTTCAGCAATGCTGGAAAAAATATATTGATTTTTCTGTATTTTTTTCTTCATCCTAGTAACATACTCCTTAGAAAGGCAGATTCATTATTAGGATATATCACATTGCTGATAAATTCCATATACATACAAATTGGTACAAAACTATGAATCCTATTTTCAGAAATATAAAGAGAAATATTGGTAGCACACATAATCGTTTTATTAGTAATTTGAAGATTGTGAAAAAATTATCCATTAAAGCAGCATAGAAGAACACTACACATAATTGTTTCATAAGTACAACTTTATGTTTTTGAGGATTCTGGAAAAGTTATCCATTAAAGCAGCAGAGAAAGGATTCACATAAAAACTATGTAAAAGTAGAATATGTTACCTACGTATCATGTAAAATCTAACTCTATGGAATAAGGTATTAATTTCAGGCTTGAAACGATCCGAATTTTTTACATTCGAATGACTCCAACTCAGATTTAATTGCATCTATGCTTGAAATTTGTCTGATTATAGTTATATTTGTAAAGTTGTTGTAGTGCTGAGTGGAGAAAATAGGGATTGAAAAAGTAATTTTACATATGAAACTGCATAAATCGTGGGTTGTTTGAGTTAGTTTAAAATTATTGTTGAACCCACGTTTGGGAAGATGGTGAATCGTGCGTTTCATCCTCACGAGTTTTCTATGTAAAAGAAAACGGCCAATTCCAGGAAGTGTTTATATTTTCTTAATTGCCAAGTCTAATAAGTAAATAAAATAACGGCCAAACGTGGGAAGTATCCATTTTTGTGAATGTGTAGGTTGAATATTTTCTAGTTTCAAAAGAGAAATATTCATTTTTTATTAATTTCCAAGTCTTATAAATAAATAAAATAACTGCCCAATACGGCAGGCAGTATCCCTATTTTTTTTGAATTCGTATGTTTGAATCTTTTTTTTTGCCTATTTTTAGTTTCAAATAATTTTAAACTCCAACTTTATTGGAGATGTGTCCAAAAAATAACACTTGTTTATTTATGATTATGCCACTTGACATCATTACATGCTTTTGCCTGTTATATATAAATAGATTTGTGTTCATACCTAGAACCTTTTTTTTCTCGAAGAGCGCCAGCTAAACTTTTTTTTTTCTTGAAGAGCGCCAACTAAACTGTAATGTACTTTGTACGTGAAAATTCTGATTTTGCTAGTCCTTGGGAACAAAATAACAATGGATAATTTAGAATCAGAAACTGCGGTACTGCCTATAAGAGTGTTTCTAACCTTTATTTAGGTGTGTGAATTAATTAAAGATCATATTTTAGATAGCTGCTTATTTAATAAGATGTATTCCTTCTGTTCCATTTGATGTGAACATGTTTGACTGGACACGGAGTTTAAGAAAAAATAAATATTTTTGGAATTTGTGGTTTTAAACAAGTCAAAAAGGGGCTCAGAGTATTTGTGTGGTTATAAAAGCTTCTCATTAAGGTTAGAATTGTATGTTTAAGCTAAATTATTTTCAAATTTAAAAAGGGTTCATTCTTTTTGAAATGGACCAAAAAGAAATAGTTTTACATAAACTGAAACGAAAGGAGTAACTGCTTATATATTTGGCATAAGTATTACAGAAGATCCATATCATGCTCGATTGAGCGGGATTTGATCTCAAATAAATAAAGAACAAAAGAAGGAAAAAAGAAAAAGCAAATCCAATTTTTACGGAAGAAAAAAGGAAAAAGAAGCGCGGATAAATGATGAAAAAGAAAAAAAAAAAGGAGGAGTTTATTTATATATAAAAGGAGAAGCAAAAGCATGTAATGATGCCAAGTGGCATAATCATAAATAAACAAGTGTTATTTTTTTGGATACATCTCCAATAAAGTTGGAGTTTAAAATTATTTGAAATTAAAAATAGGCAAAAAAAAGATTCAACCATACGAATTCAAAAAAAATAAGAATACTGCTTGTCTTATTGGGCAGTTATTTTATTTATTTATAAGACTTGAAAATTAAGAAAAAAATGAATATTTCTCTTTTGAAACTAGAAAATATTCAACTTACACATTCACAAAAATGGATACTTCCCATGTTTGGCCGTTATTTTATTTACTTATTAGACTTGGCAATTAAGAAAATATAAACACTTCCTGGAATTGGCCGTTTTCTTTTACAAAGAAAAATCGTGAGGATGAAACGCACGACTCACCATCTTCCCAAACGTGGGTTCAACAATAATTTTAAACTAACTCAAACAACCCACGATTTATGCAGTTTCATATGTAAAATTCCTTTTTCAATCCCTATTTTCTCCATTCAGCACTACAATAACTTTACAAATATGACTATAATCAGACAAATTTCAAGCATAGATGCAACTAAATCTGAGTTGGAGTCATTCGAATGTAAAAAATTCGGATCGTTTCAAGCCTGAAATTAATACCATATTCCATAGAGTTAGATTTTACATGATACATAGGTAACATATTCTACTTTCACATAGTTTTTATGTGAATCCTTTCTCTGCTGCTTTAATGGATAACTTTTCCAGAATCCTCAAAAACATAAAGTTGTACTTATGAAACAATTATGTGTAGTGCTCTTCTATGCTGCTTTAATGGATAATTTTTTCACAATCTTCAAATTACTAATAAAACGATTATATGTGCTACCAATATTTCTCTTTATGTTTCTGAAAATAGGATTCATAGTTTTGTACCAATTTGTATGTATATGAAATTTATCAGCAATGTGATATATCCTAATAATGAATCTGCCTTTCTAAGGAGTATGTTACTAGGATGAAGAAAAAAATACAGAAAAATCAATATTTTTTTTTCCAGCATTGCTGAAGT